TCCACGGCAGGAGTGGGGGTAGAAACAGCCTGAGAGTCAGAATCCTCCATTCTTTTTGTCTCGCCGTGACCGCCCTGTACCCCCTTTTCTGCCTATGGAAGCTTCACTCTGACCCCTGCCTGCCACCTCTTATGTCTCCTCAGTTCACTTCAGGACTCCTTTACACCGTCCTCACTCCAGCCTCCAGCCCCCAGCCAAGGGCAGATCAGACCGGCCTCATGTTCCCCACTTTTGTCCCCTGCCCTCTGGTTGCCTCCATCCTTACTTCAACCCCATAATTTATTCGAACCCTCTTTCCTACCCTGACTCTTGTGTCTTCAGTTTGACAGCATCTCTCCCCTTCTGTGCCTGCCTCAGATGTGGAGTGGAGGCCTGGGAATCGGCAGCGGCACCAGGAAGGAATCAATGCAGCCAATGTAGGGACACGTGGAGGACCAGCGCCCACTGCGCCAGCCCCTAAAGCATGGCTATTGAGTCACAGTACTAAAAACAAGGTGACCCTGTGCTGTAACCCTGTGAGGGATCCTGGAGTCAGAAACTGCACGGTAATTCACAAGGCAGGGTATTTTGAAATCTCTCTCTCTCTCTCTCTCTCTCTCTCTCTCTCTCTCTCTCTCCCTCTCTCTCTCCCTCCCCCATTTCCTCTCTCAGAGCAGAAGTATTTTGTACTTTGAGAGCTTTGCTGGGTCTTTGGCTACAAAGATGAAGGACAGGTTAGTGATCTGCAGCGCAGATAAACAGATTGACTAGGCTCAACACAAACCTTAGGAGTGTGGGGGATGGGGACAGCTTCCCCAGCACTATTCTGCTCTGAGACCAGCAAGCTCCCCTGGCAGTGGATGGGAAAGTCCCCAACAGTTGTTCTCCAGCCCCACTTCCTGCATGGTATGTGGAGTTAGTGAGACCCAAGGAGTCACCCCACGGTACAGTGTTAGTGCAGGGGTCCTGGCTTTGAGAGACCCCAGCTCCAGAGGCAGAGACAAACCAGGCAAGCCAGTGGCACCTCTGCACCCATGGGTGGAGTCTGGAGGCTAAGCTCAATCTTGGTTCAGTTTATTGCCTTCGAACATCTTACAACCTTAAAAAGGACTGGAGATGGCTGACATTTCTACTTTACAGGGTTGGGACTCTGCTGTGAAGGCTGCTTGCTCATTCCCAGCTATCCAGACCCAAAATAATCACACAGAAACTGTATTATTTGCAGTCCAGGCAAGAGAAGTTTCTTGCCCAAATGGCTAACAAACTCCATAAGGAGCCTCTTCAATGCCCATCTTCCTCTTGAGGTAGATTGGTGCTGCCAGGAGCAGATGTGCCTCATTGCCATGAAAAGTCCTAATTTCTTAAAACACTTTAATTCCATATTCTGTTAGTCTTTGAAAGGTTTGAAGAATACTTAGCCATCTGAAATATATATCTGTACATCTAGAAAACCTAACTAATATGACTACAAGCTTGACTATTATAGATGACTATCTATTAACCTCTATATCTTAATTATACATTACATTTTTTTTTTTTTTTTTTGGTTTTTCGAGACAGGGTTTCTCTGTGGCTTTGGAGCCTGTCCTGTAGACCAGGCTGGTCTCAAACTCACAGAGCTCCACCTGCCTCTGCCTCCCGAGTGCTGGGATTAAAGGCGCACGCCACCACTGCCCGGCTATACATTACGTTTTTAAATGAGCTGCACAAACACAATACCTTAATCAAGAGCAGAAATATACATATAACAAAAATGACCTTAAGTTTGTTTCAATAAACCAAGATCCATACCAATGCAAAGTATCCATCTCTACATCCCCTTTAAATGTACACAAACACTTATAAGGAATATTTGGAAATTTGGGCGTAGTTCTCTCCAAACTGCTTCCTGTTTTTTGTTGAGTGAAGTAATTTTGGGGTTTGCAGAGACCTTTTGGGGGGGGGGTTCTTGGTCCATCAAACCATATTAGTCTGGAAGGAATTCATAGGTTCTCATCCTCTGTGGAAACAAAAGCAGACCTCTTTTCCAAAGCAACATATCCTTAGACCCAAATTTTGAAGTAAAGATACCTTTAAAGTATATATGTTGGTTTAGCTTAGCAGGAAATGTCTCTCTGAACTTAGTTCATTCACAGTCAAAAAATTCAAAGAAACCACAATGATATACATAATCCAGACTCTCTGTGTATTTTTCATCCTAATGTGGCTTATTTTTCTTTGCTCCTTTAATCTATTATTGTCTTTACTCTGTCTCTTTAAAGATTTTATTTTTTAACCATTTACTTCTTTTTATAACTGTCTATATTCTTTTTCTTCTATTTCTTAAGCCTATGTACATTTGTTCAACACTGTGACCCATTTAGAGATCTTTTTTTTTTATCTGAATCTATCTTTATTGTGTATCTGTAATAATTTTCTGACCAGGAGTGCTTTTAAAAACGCTAAGCAGCTTAGTCATAGCATCCCTGCTGGCTCCACCTCTCTCAGGCTTTCAATATGGCGGAGGTATATGTCAGCTCTGGGACTGCCGGGTGGGAGCCGATCTCATCACCTCTTCTCTGGGTAGCACCATGCAGCGTATAAACCCTTTTTATCTGAGGAAAAGCTAAATCTGTCATGCAGCGCACTGTGTATGGTGGCAGGAATCCACCATGCTCTCCTGCCAATAAAACAGGAAAGCCCTAAGTTTGGGCTTCTGTGTGACCTTTGGTAGCAACACAGACCCCAGCTACAGTAGGACCATGGACCCACACATGGTCCTCAGTAGCAGCCTGGGTCTGGACTTCAGTGGGGCCCCAGTGGCGGTGAAGACCATCCAGATCAGCCTGACCCCAGAGGGGCTTTAGTCTTAAAAAACAGAAAGAAAAAAAGCAAACACATACATACAGACCAGAGAACCTGTAGTTGCCAGAGCTGGAGACTTCACGCTCTGTCTAGAAAGCCCTTTCTCCCCAGGCCATTCACTGACTCCTGATGGAATCTGGCAGTCTGGTTCAGTTTCCTTCTCTTTAAGAAATGTCTGCAGAGCACTGGACTGAGCTCCCAAGGTCCCAATGAGGAGCAGAAGGAGGGAGAACATGAGCAAAGAAGTCAGGACCACGAGGGGTGCACCCACCCACTGAGACAGTGGAGCTGATTTATTGGGAGCTCACCAAGGCCAGCTGGACTGTGACTGAAAAAGCATGGGATAAAACCGGACTCTCTAAACATGGCGGACAATGAGGGCTGATGAGAAGCCAAGGACAATGGCACGGGTTTTTGATCCTACTTAATGTGCTGGCTTTGTGGGAGCCTAGCCAGTTTGGATGTTCACCTTCCTAGATATGGATGGAGGGGGGAGGACCTAGGACTTACCACAGGGCAGGGAACCCTGACTGCTCTTTGGACTGGAGAGGGAGGGGGAGAGGAGTGGGGGGAGGGGGAGAAGGGTGGGAGGAGGGGGAGGGAAATGGGAGGCTGGGAGGAGGCGGAAACTTGTTCTTTTTTCCTTTTCTCAATAAAAAAAAAAAAAGAAAAAAAAGATGGCAAAAAAAAAAAAAAAAGAAGAAGAAAAAGAAATGTCTGCAGAGGCATGAAAGCCCAGGCCCTGTGTGCAGCTAGTTCATCAACGTGACACAAGCTAGAGTCAGCTGGGAAGAGGGAACCCTAGATTGGCCTGGGGGACATTTTCTTGATTGGTGACAGCTGCCTGAGGGCCCAGCTAACTGTGGGTGGTGCCACCCCAGGAATGGTGGTGCTAGAAGAAAGCAGGCTGAGCACAGCATGAGGAACAAGCCGGTAAACTGCACTCCCCGGTGGCCTCTGCTTCAGTTCCTGCTTGAGTTCTTGCCCTGATTTCCCTCAGTGATGGTGGGGGATCAGGACATGTGAGATGAAATAAATTTGCTCACAAGTTGCTGTTGGTCATGGTTTTTATACTGAACTAGAAACCCTAACTGAGGCACCCTGCCCCCACTCCGTGCTACTCTACCTCCACAAGGTTACTTTGTATCTTTTGTAGATTTATGTATCTTTTTTTCTTTGCATTAAGATACAACTAATAGAAAACACCTGCTCTTTTGGTCTGCAGTGCGGTGTTTCCGCGTGTTTGCAACCTTGCGCAGCTGTTGCCTCTAGCTGCTTCCAGAACAGGTTTTTCATCCCCTAAGCAAACCCAGGACCATTAAGCAGTCACTCCTTTTTTCTTCACCTATAGACACTAGCCAGCACTCATCTATTTTCCTAGGATTTGCCTATTCTGGGCATTTTTATATAAATGGAAGTGTGCGAAGTGTGGCCTTTTGAGTCTGACTTTGTAACCTTAGCATAGTGTGTGTGTGAGTGTGTGTGTGTAAAACATTTATCAGCAGTTCTTTTAAATTTTTAAAGTATACTGGAGTGTTGGGGTGTTGTTTTTTTTTTTTGCAGAAAGGGTGTAAACCCTGTCAACAACTTGGAACTTAGACTCATTCTTTCCTAGAGGGTCTCCAATGAGACCACAGCCTAGATAAATTTTTAAAGTGTAGCAATATTATTATAATGCGATGAAACTACTTTAAAAGATAACCTAGCTATCACACAATAGAAGAACAACCACCGCTTTCTGGGACATGGCTCAGTGGTCGGGGACTTGCCAAGCTCATGCAAGGCTCTAGTTCCAGCCCCAGCACTGCAGGAAGAAAAAAGAGGAAGAAAAATAATAAGTTCTTATTGAATAACAAGTTACTCTTTTGTAAGTAATTATTTATTTTTTAACATACCAATCCCAGGTCTACGCTCCTCTTCTCCTCCCGCTCCCCCCTTTCCCACTCCACCTCCCATTCGTTCCTTAGAGAGGTTAAGGCCTCCCCAGGGAAGCCAACTATGACTGTCTCATCCCCTCATTGAGGCAGGACCAAGGTCCTCCCCTTCCTTGCCCCATGTCTAGGCTGAGCAAGGTGTCTCTCCATAGAGAACGGGCTCTACAAAGTCAGTTCATGCCTTAGCGTTAGATCCTGGTCCCACTGCCAGTGGCCACACCAGTGCCACCTGTATTCAGGGGACCTAGTTATTTCCCCAGCTGTCTGTCTGGAGTCAGTTATCGAATACAAGTTCAGATCAGCAGGTGTTAATTTGTAGACAAACTAAACATCAAACTTAAGTTTACACATTCATTTCCCACTGTTTTACCTTTTTTCCCCAAAGGTAACAACCAGTTTCATTGTATTTTTCGCTGTCCACAGAGTTAGTGAGATTGTGAACAAGCAGTGTGCCATGGGAAGCAATGGAAACTGCTCCTAATTTTGGGCCCAGCATCTCGTTTGTGCATGTCTGGTTCTCTGGGCATCAGTCAGCGTTATGCTTCCCCATGCATTTCTGAGTTCATGTTCCCTAGATCCTACAGGCAGGGTGTATAGAAGATAAGATGTGGAAAAGTCAGCGTTCTTTTCATTGTTTGAAAGGATCTGCATTTCCAGGAATGAGTTTGAGGTCCCCCTGTTTATCAAAGGAATCAGAAAAACAAGTTATCAGTATAGTTACCAGCTTCACTGAATACCCTGGGATCAACTATTTATGTATCTGTTGTTTTCTGTCTATTGCCACAGTGTCTCAAGCAGCTCAGGCTGGCCGAACCCCTGATCTTCCCTCCTCTAAAACCCATGTTGGGAAAGCAATCTACAGATTTAATGCATGCCCACCAAAATCCCAGTGTAATTCTTCACAAACCTTGAAATAACGGTACTTCATATGGAAAAGCAAATATCCAAGGTAACCAAAACAATCCTGTACAATAAAGGAACTTCTGGAGGTATCACCATCCCTGACTTCAAACTCTACTATAGAACTATGGTAACAAAAACAGAATGGCATTGGCATAAAAACAGACAGGAGGACCAATGGAATCAAATCAAAGACCCAGATATTAATCCACACACCTTCGAACACCTGATTTTTGACAAAGAAGCAAAAAAATATCAAATGGAAAAAAGAAAGCATGTTTAACAAACAGTGCTGGCATAACTGGATATCAACAAGTAGAAGAATTAAAATAGATTCATATTTATCACCATGCATAAAACTCAGGTCCAAATGGATCAATGACCTCAACATAAAGCCAGCCACACTGAACCTTATAGAAGAGAAAGTGAGAAGTACACTTGAGCACATTGGCACAGGAGACCACTTCCTAAATATAACCCCAGTAGCACAGACACTGAGAGAACAATTAATAAATGGGACCTCCTGGAAACTGAAAACCTTCTGTAAAGCAAAGGACATGGACAACAAGACAAAACAACAGCCTACAGAATGGGAAAAGATCTTCACTAACCCCACATCAAACAGAGGTCTGATCTCCAAAACATACAAAGAACTCAAGAAATTGGTCATCAAAAGAACAAATAATCTAATAAGAAAAAATGGAGTACAGACCTAAACAGAGAACTCTCAACAGAGGAATCTAAAATGGCTGAATGACACTTAAGGAAATTCTCAACATCTTTAGTCATCAGAGAAATGCAAATTAAAACAACTCTGAGATTACATCTTAAACCTGTAAGAATGGCCAAGATCAAAAACACTGATGACAACTTATGCTGGAGAGGATGTGGGGGAAAAGGGAACACTCCTTCAATGCTGGTGGGAATGCAAGCTGGTACAACCCCTTTGGATGTCAGTGTGGTGACTTCTCAGAAAATTGGGAAACAACCTTTCTCAAGACCCAGTAATACCACTTTTGGGTACATATCCAAAGGATGCTCAATTGTACCACAAGGACATGTGCTCAACTATGTTCATAGCAGCTTTGTTTGTCATAGCCAGAACCTGGAAACAACCTAAATGCCCCTCAGCCGAAGAATGGATAAGGAAAATGTGGTACATTTACACAGTGGAGTACTACACAGCAGAAAAAATGACAGCTTGAATTTTGCAGGCAAATGGATGGAGCTAGAAAACATCATTTTGAGTGAGGTAACTCAGACACAGAAAGACAATTATCACAGGTACTCACTCATAAGTGGTTTTTAAACATAAAACAAAGAAAACCAGCCTACAAATCACAATCCCAAAGAACCTAGACAACAATGAGGACCCTAAGCGAGACATACATAGATCTAATCTACATGGGAAGTAGAAAAAGACAAGATCTCCTGAGTAAATTGGGAGCATGGAGACCTTAGGAGAGGACTGAAGGGGATGGGAGAGGCAGGGAGGAGAGCAGAGAAAAATGTAGAGCTCAATAAAAATAATAAATAACTTCCCAATTTAAAAAAAAAAACCCGTGTTGGGATTTCAACATGTGCCACCCTGCTGTATTTAAAATAAAGGTGTGTGTGTGTGTGTGTGTGTGTGTGTGTCTGTGTGTGTCTGTGTGTGTGTGTGTGTAATTTACAGAGCGTGGGTGAGAGGTTATAGAGAGGAACACAGACAACCACAGAGTGGCCACACTGGAAGGTCTGTCTGTAAGCAGCAGGAATGATGACTCCCCACTGACCTGTGCAGCGAGGTGGAGCCTCTTCCTTCTCCCCACCTAGATCTTCCAGCACTTTCCAGAGTCCCCAAGACTATGAGAAATTCGAGGAGAATTGCATATAGTTGGTTGGGTTGGGGCTGGGTACTCAGGTGAGGGTCCAGTAACCATCTCTGCCCCCCTCCTTCAGCTCAGCTGCGATGATCTTCAACAAGCAAGCCTGGCCAAACTTCTGCAATGGTGGCAGTTTGGCCCAGAGGCCAGTCCTAGACAACCGTCCTGAAACCTGCTGATCCAGAGCTCGGGTGACAGGGACAAGCTTCCACTGGGCTTCTTGTGGGTGCTGGGAATACAAGTGTTTGCAGCAGGCACATTACCGGCAAAGCTATCCCCCAGCCCTTTTAAATGAAGCATTTTAAATTAAAGATTTCAGGAAAAAAAAACTTTTGGGTAAATCTGTTGATATTCCTAGTTCTGTTTATTCTCAGTTCATATGTAAATAAATTAAAAGTGTAAAAAAGGGTCTAGTGCAGTTTGCATGCATTCACTGTATAAATTGAATAAATAGCAGTTTTTAAGGATTATACCTCATTTTTTCCATCAACAAGAAAACACAATGCATTTGAATGTAAAGTCTTAAATCTTGTTTCTTTTCAGAGCCCTATTTCATTTGTAACTTTCGTTTCCTATTTTTTCAAACTTTCATTTTAAAAGGTACCACTCACAGCTGCTTCGTTTCTATGGCCACTAGCGTGCGTGAGAATTCCAGCGTCCCCACCTTTCCCAGCGTCTGTCAGTGTCTGTCGTTGCTTCACTGGTGGGCTTGAATGTCACTGTGGCCTGGTTCAGATCTGTGGTTCCATTACCTCATTTTCATACTTACCGACCATTTGTATATCTTTGGGGAAATGTATATTTGAATTTCAGCCACTTCTAGGTTCGGGGTGGTTTTTTGTTTTGTTTTGTTTCTTTTTTTTATTGCACAGTTGTGTGTACATGCTCGCACACACACTATTTTACTGTTCAGTGATCCATTTTTGTAAGTCTGAGTTCCCTGTGTTACACTTTGGCCAAATGTGGGCAGAGCCCAGGTCTTACTAAAGGCCCTCCTCTTAGGCCTGGCCGCTGCCCTGGCAAATGAGGGGGCTGGATACCGGGCTTTTGATGTTATCCTTGTGTTTTCCTCCGAGGCCTTTTTAAGCGCCCACGTTTCCCCATTACCTCTGTGTGGAGGCCTTTTGTGCCGCTAAGGGGACTTTCCAATGAAATGGAGCCTGAGCCAAAAAGTTTGAATTCTAGAATATTCTGGAATCCCTCCCTTTCCCCTTCCCCAAGTGCTCAGACTCCCCTCCCCTCTTCTTGGTGGAGCCGGGAGGGGCAGGGGTGTGGTTAGATAGGAATGGTTGCTTTCAAGCCAAGGTGAACACGGCTCAGGAAGGGTTGGTGGGGGTGGTGTCCATCTGCTTCCGGAGAAAGGCCAGATACTTTAACTTGTTTCTGCAGAAGCTGCCAAAAATATTGGTGTCCTCGCAGTACACGGTCACCACCTTGCGCACAGCACTCTTGCTAGGCCTTGGTGGCTGTCGGGTGACCCAGAACACAGAGTTAGAATCTGCCCCTTTGCCACCTTGCCCAGTCTTCATGACCTTCAAACATTCTTTTGTGTTCATACCTGGAATTGCTGGACTATACAGTAATTCTATTTCTTTCCTTTTTTTTTTTTCTTTCTTCCTTAAAGAAAAATACTACCATCTCTATAGAGGTAGTCATTTTCTTCTCCTGCCAATGGTGCCCAGGGCATCCTACCAGCATGTACTACCTTCTTTTTAAAGGGTAGCTTCTCTGATGGGTGTGAAGTAGTATCTAATTGTGGGTGTGATTTGCATTTCTCCTGTGGGCCATGCATTGACTTCCTGCTTATTGGCCATCTTTATGACTTATAGAGAAAAACATCGAGTCATTGCTTATGGTTGAGTTGGCTTGTTTTGGTTTCCGTTGCTGGTGGTGGTGGTAGGAGTTCTTTGTATATCCTGGATATTAGTCCTTTATCAGATACACAACTTGTAAAGATTTTCTCCTACTCTTATGTGTGGCCTTGTTACTCCATAGATCACCTTTTAATGTACAGAGTAGACATTTTAATGAAATATAGTTTATCTAATGGGATGACTTAAAATATTAAAAAAAAAGAAAGCATAAGAAAGATAGTGAAAGTAAAGAACGGCAACAAAGATGAATTCTGTGTTTGTCCCCTTGCGCTGGTGAAACATCTTTGCTCTGGGGAAGCCCCGGCCCATGAAAGGGAGTAGCTGGGAACTAGAAACCACCAGAGCTATTTCGAGTCGCAGTAAGAAACCTACCCGATACCAGCGCCCAGGTGTGGGTGTCCGGGGAACGGGGGCGGCACTGTGGCGCTGGGGTTTCCCTGAGATCTGTGTGGTGAGTGGGCTCAAAGGCAGGAAGTTCGCTATTGGGAAAGCCGCGGGTGCAGCCACCTGCCTCTTGGGGCCTCCTTCGCTGTAGGTCCGCTTCCAGCTCCCAGAACAGGTTCCAAAGAACGGCTGCCTGGCTGCCCTTTGCTCCCTGTAAATCTTTCACCTCCTTTATTTTGTTTCATGAGATTATTTTTTTCTTCTTGATTCTAAAAATAACTATGCTGATATCCAACTGACCAAAGTATAAGAAGAAAACATCAGCCATCAGTCCACCCCCGGGGTGGCAGTAGCAACAGTGATCATTCATTAAACACGACTGTGTCAGAAACTGGGCTTCGTGTTCTCCTAGAGAGCCCCGGCCACCCACAGTGGCAACTCCTAGCTCTTTAGGGAAGGACTGGTTAAGCGCAGCTGGAGTCAGTTCAGACCTGTCTGATCTCAAAGCCCATTTCTACTCCGGCCTCTCTCTATTCTGCAACCGTTAATCTCAGAAACAGTGAGACATACTATCTATGGGTTCGTTTTCTCATAAAATGATCTCGTGGGTGCAAAAACCACAAGTTTTTGTTTTGTTTTTGCTTGTTTGGTTTTTTTTGAAACAGAGTTTCTCTGTGTGTAGTCCTGGCTGTCCTGAAACTAGCTCCATAGACCTGGCTGGCCTCAAACTCACAGAGACACACCTGCCTCTGCCTCCCGAGTGCTGAGATTAGAGGTGTGTGTCGCCACTGCCGGCTGCTTCTGCCATGGTTTTAACCCATGCCGATGTGTTGGCACCTGCCTCACCCTGCCTGACAGCCACTTGGACAGTCCTTCCACTTCCCCTACTTGTCCAAGAGGGCTGCTCAGCCAGGTTTGGGTTTTTCAGTGCTTTCTAATGGCCAATAATAAAATGACAAGGGTTTTGTTCATAGCAACCCCCCTTTCCCATCATCTTCTAAAAAGGGATGACAAACAGCTTCCCTAGGGACTCCTAAGAGGCTACCCATTGCTGTACCACATTCCCATCTTCATCTCCAGACAACACTTGGTGGAGATCCCAACCCATCCATGCCTGCCTCAGTTCAGAGCTAATGTCCCTACTTGTTAGCCACCCCAGACTTGAGATGAGAGGGCACTGAGATAGTTAACCTCAGTTGCCAACTTGGTGAGATCTAGGTCACGTGAGAGATACAAGTCTGGGCACCTTACTTAGGTTACCTGAGATGGGAAGGCCTGCCCACTGTGGGTGGTGCCGCTTTTGGACCATAAGAAATGTAGAAAGGGAGCTGAGCACAGGTGTTTGTGGCTCTCTGCTTCCTGACTGCAGGTGTGATACGACCTGCTGCTCCAGCTCCTGTCGCTCTGACTTCCACACACGAATGGAGTGCACCCTACACCATGAACAAACAAAATCTCCCCTTCCTTAAACTGCTTACCTTGGAGTTGCTTTCGGCAACAGGCAGGAACTGGGGTAGATACCTTGCGTTCAATGCTAGGGATGAGATCCCATTTGTTCCCTTTCTACATAAATAGCACAGGTTCTGTATTAAAAGGTAAACTAAGATTCCTCTGCAACTCCCCCCCCCCGACTCATGACCACTAATACTTGTGTTTTGTGACACTAATGCATATATGTGTTTAAAAAATGAAACCATGCCACGAATACCATTTTCTTACTTGCTTCTTTCCCTTAGCAGAGTTACTGGCTCCATTGCAGCCGCTCGCTCTGTCACCTTGGCCAAATTAAATTCTCTGTGCCTCAGTTTCTTCACACAGACAGTGGGGATGCTATAAAGTTGAAGTGATTGTGTGTGAAACATTCAAACCTGGGCCTGCTACTTGTGTTTGCTATTTGGTTCTTATTTTTTATTCTTATTCATTCTCTTCTCTGTTTTTCTATTGCTGTGAAGAGACAGCATGACCAAAGCAATTTATAAAAGAAAGCATTTAATTGGGGCCTCACTTACAGTTTCAGAGGGTTAATCCATTATCATCATAGCTAGGAGCACAACAGGAAGCAAGCAATCACAGCACTGGAGCAGTAGCTAAGAGCTTACATCTGATCCTAAAGTTCTTGGCAGAAAGAGAGAGAAAATGACTGCACCTGGCATGAACTATTGAGTTCTCAAAGCCCACCGGCAATGACACACCTCCTCCAACAAGGCCACACCTCCTAATCCTTCCTCCAATAGTTCCACTAAGCCTGCAAACCGTGAGCCTGTGGGAGCATTCTTATTCAAATCACCTCACTCATCATTCTTTCTGTTTTATCTTCATTTTGTTTTTAGATAGGGTCTCAAACTGTAGTCCAGGTTAGCTTACAACTCATAAAGTACCCCAAACTAGCCTTGAACTCAAAGCAAGCCTCCTGCCTCAGCCTCTTGAGCATTAGGTTCCTGGTTTGAGCCAGCATAGCCAGCTCTAAACACTATCTCCAGACTCCAGCCATACACACCAGTGGCTCTGGTTCTCATCCAGGTAATTTGTCCCAGAGTCATGTGTGGGGACAGTTTTGGTTGTCCAGCAGGTGGGGAAGATGCTTAGGCTGCTAAGTATCCTACAAGGAACAGGCACAGCCCACAAACCCCCACAAACCCCACTGCTGAGACAGAGTGAACCTAGTGATTCTGTATTTCCTTAGTCAGCTCCCTGTGACATATCTTCTTTTTAAGGGGAGGGAGTGTCTCGAGACAGGGTTTCTCTGTGTAACCTGGAACTTGCTCTGTAGACCAGGCAGGCCTTAAACTCATAAAGGTCCACCTGCCTCTGCCTCCCGAATGCTGACATTTAAGGCGTGTGTCACCACCACCCAGCTTCTTTTTCAGATTGAGTGGACACTGTTCTGCACTGTGAGAGACACCAGTGGAGATTTTAGGCAAGAACCAGACATGGTCCTGAACGGAGATCTGACCGCGCAGCATGCGTAGCAGATCAAGGTGCTGGGCGGAGAGGAGCAGAATACCGCCTGACTGTCCCTACGTCAGCCCAGACAGTGGGGAGGAAGGAGTCTAAGATTTGTGACCTTCAAGACATCTCCCACCTCCTGTAACCTTTTAGCAACTATAAACAAGGCTCCATTGTGTCACTGGTGGTAAAGTTCCCAGTTAAGGAGCCTGTGTGTTTGCCAGGGAGGGGACTGACTGTCATGCTGGCCCAAAGATGTCTGGGTGAGATTAAAGGGTCCTTTATGTTGTCACCCCTCTTCTGTGACCAGAGAGGCAGTGGTAGTCTTCTCCAGTTTTGTCTCCAGACCATGAACTGAAAAACTCCTTGAGACTGACTGACCTAAAGACACATTTTAATGACTGGCTTTGTTTACAAAAGAGAGCCGGGTTATCATGGAGAGTGGAGAGGGGTTTTCCATCCAGTTCCAGAGAGCATGTTCTTGCTGGTGAAGGAGGCCCTTGTTGCTGGTGGGGGTGGGGAGTGGGGCTGTGCTACTCAGACGCCCCACCATTGTTAACTACTTGCTGCATGCCTTCTGCAGGACAGTGTCCCTGCCTATGACATGGGATAGCTTGTTCTCCTGCAGCAGGCACTGAGACAAAATAAGGAGGGCAAAATAAGTAACAGACTCTAGACGTGGAAGCTAATCAGAAAGCCCTCCCCCACCCCACGAGCTCTGCAGCTAGTCAGAGCACAGATCTAGCTATAGACCCTGAAACTCCCGAAGCCCAGCAAACCTGGGAGGCTCAGCCTGGCTCAGCTGCTGCAGGGCCTGACTTGCCTGCCAGTCAAGGGTTCTGTCTCTTGCTGTTAAATAGGCCTGCAGTCTTTTCTGTGGCTTCTATCCTGACTCTCTGCAGGACAAGCTGAGCCTTTGCTCTCTCCTCCATGACTGTCCCCAGTGACACGGGAGGTTGTGCTGTCTCAGAGAGCTCACTATGTGCTGGGGAGGGGGGGCGGCTCAGGTCTCCTAACAACACCCACACTGTGGTCCAGCATTCAAACGATAGACTCTCCCCAAATCTTCCTAATGACTTTTCCCAAGAGGCGGGTAGTCTATGCCAGGCCTCTGACAGTGAGCTGTGAGGTGCCCGCCTCAGCGTAGAGTTTCCAGGTGTCTGTGAACCTGGCCGAGTTCCCTGCTTACTCTTCTAAACAGTGGAGATAGTAGCAGCCTTGAGGTGTGCCTGAGATCTGCTTCACAGTACTTGGCATGAAAGCAAGGAAAGAACGTTGCTATTATTTCACGAGCCCCTGGAAAGCTAGCCTGAGTTCATCCGCAGGGTATTGAGAAGAAATTGATTTCCTAGTTTCCCTCAGCGGAACATGAGGGGAGAAAGGCACTGGGTGTCGCTTTGTCCAGAAGCAAGGCGATAGTGATGGGCAGGCAGCCTTGTTTGCAAAGCGGACTCTGTGTGCTAAGAAGTGTGGCTGGGACCCCCGTAAGTCACAGCAGCAGTGGCTGAGGATGAAGCGACAGAGCACAGTAAAACATTGGAAGATCTGAGGCGAGCGATCACACGCTTATGTCAGTGGAGCAGATCTGGAAGTCCAGTACAGGTGGCCAAGCCTCTCTCCGCCAGCCTTGTCACGGAAGTAGCATCCTGGCTGAGTGTATAAACTCTTCTGCTTCCCTCGGCTGAGAAGATACAGCCCTGCCTCAGCTGTGGGCAGCATGCACCATGTCTCCACGCCTCTGACAGGGAGCCCCTCATTCTCCTCTTCCTCCCCGCACCCACCCTTGCCTCACTTCCTCCCAGACTTCCTCTCTCCCTCTCCCCTTCCTCCCTGCACCCTCCCCCAGCCTCACTTCCTCCCAGGCTCCAAGGCTCTGAAACACTTGGCGCTGTAATTCTAACATTCCCCAGATTATAACAAGAGCGCTGAGGAATCAGACGTTCTGAGGTGATGGCCTCCCTGTAGGGACACATCTGTGCTGAAAGCTGCTCTCTGGGAGTGGAGGGCGGAAATGTGACCAGTGATTTTATCTCTAAAAAAAAAAAAGAAAAGAAAAAGTGGCAGGTGCAACCCAGGGGCTTTGTGCTGCTTCCAAGAAGCTGGCAGCTTCTTCAGCTCAGAGAAGACAATGGACTTGGTGGAAGGAGCTCACAGAGGCAGACTCCCCCAGGTGGGGCTACTACCCATGATGAACTGGGAATTAACCAAAGGACAGTCTGGGTTCTGAGACAGGAAATCCTGCCCTTAGGGTGGATAATAAATGAGGCAATGGCCGGACTGTAGGACTCAGTTTGCCCATCTGTTTATTGGGCACACATTTGACACCCTGCCACCACGTTCCTGGGAGCACTTCCTCTTCCCACCTCTGCTGTCTCGGCATACACATGGGTCTCAACACCAGCACAGTCCTTCCATGGCTCACATAAACACCACCATCAGATTACCACACTGTGCCAAAACAGAGCTCTGGGAGGGGTTGGGGGTGCAGCTCAGTGGGTAGAGCACCGCCTAGCATGCAGGAAGCGCTAGATTTTCAGTTTAGAGTAGAAGCCTGAAGGCTGCGCAGAAAAACCAAGACAGGCAGAGCCCAGATTTCAGGAAACACTTACCTGTACCTGCTCTGCAGGGGGTGCAGGCAGGACCCCCTGTCTGAAAGACTGTCCCTCGCCAGCTGCTCCACCTTAGGGCTCCAGTGTGGGGGCTTGACTTTAGCCATCTTGGGCCTTGTCAGACACCCCTCACCCCTGCCCACTCATTCAGTCCTGTTCTTCCGATCTTACAAGAGCTGGGAAGCACGGGTCCGTCTGTGAAGGGGAGGGCAAAACCGGGAGCTCAGGAGATGTGGGCAGGAGGGATTCTCTCTGTCTGCAGCTCATCCCTTCCTCTCTTCGAGGACTCTTCCTGGACTCGCTGTAGTGGTGACCAACATGGCTCCCAGCTCCAGGCTTCCATCCTCAACTGAACGATATGCATGAAGCCGGTGTCTTTGATCTTCAGCTCTGGAAGTGAGTCCCACTGTCATCTGGGCTAATTTAAGAACAGCTCAGTCCCTGTGCTGTGCCTGGAGCTAGGGCTGGAGGAGGGGCACCATCTTCCTAGAGAAAGTAAGGCCCTCACGCTCATCAGAGGCCTGGAATGGACCCACAGCAGGAACGATGCCCCGGAAGCTGTGCTCTTCAAAGTTGAACGAGTGCATAGATCTCTTAGGGTTCTTGTTATAATACATATTCAGTTTAATAATTCTTGGAGTCAGCTTTTTAAAAAATATACATTTGTTCATTTATTTGTTGGAGGTGGGGGCGTGGCTGTGCATATGTGAGTGGAGGTCAAAGGGCAAATTCATCCACAGTCAGTTCTCTCCTTCTCTACCTTGTGGGTTCTGAAGGGATGGAACTCGGGGCATAGAATTAGACAGCAAGTGCCTTTATCCACTGGGTCATCTCACCAGCCCCCAAGAATCAGAATTTTTCCACCTCTCCATGCTGACACTGCCCACTTGGGAACCACACCCAGGTACCAAGCAAAGGTCTGACAACAGCTGATACCTCTTCCAGGTGTCTGGAGTGCTTGTGCAGTGAGGGCAAACTCAGCAACTGATGGGACCTAGTGTCCCAAAAGCCTTCCTGCACCCCAAGGCCAGTTGCTCCTCTTAGACTGGCCCTCACTCTATTAGACGGCAGGCAGGACAACTGTTCCTTCTCATTCCTGTTGTGCAGATGAGAAAATGGGGGCTCAAGTTCCTTGTGTGGCTTCCTGAGTCACCCAGCTGCTTTGAAAGACAGTACAGGCACAGACAGGACTACATCCCAGGTCCTCACAGGACCCTCCCCAGGCTTCTTTCTGGAAGCTTCTGAAGGTCTGACTGGAGAGAAGAAAGAAGTATATCACCGTGTATGGGCACACTTCCCCAGGGTCGGAAATTTCCAGGGTGCAAAGTGGAAAGCTGTGTCATAAAGACCTTGTGACCTCCTGGGTGCTGTTTGAAAATCAAAGTCACAAAGGCCAAAGGTTGTCTAACGCTCTACTTCCCACTGCTGCTGGAGCTGTTTTTAACCTCTGTCTCATGTTAGTTCACTCCTTCATGACCTCCCAGAGACTGTTGTTCACGGTTACCCTCTCACCCAGGGTGGGGCCGGTCACACCTGAGCTGCAAGTAAGATAATGTGGGAACTGGTACCTCCTCAAAGGGCTGGGCGCGACGGTTTGTAATTTTCAGGAGGACTCCTTGGGGGAGGCATACGTGTATGATCTAAATGTGCTCCTGGCTTCTGGAGGCAGAACCCCACTTGCGATGGGTTAAATTAATCCATGGGCTGAACTCATGGTGCCCGAGGCAGCTCAGAATTCAGTCCTGCGTGGAAACCGGGTCTTTGCAGATGTGCTTGGGTGAGATGAGAACAGGACACTCATCACTATGCCTGGCATCTCTGTGAAGAAAAACACAGGGGCACACACTCTGAGAACAGGACCACTATGCCTGGCATCTCTGTGAAGAAAAACACAGGGGCACACACTCTGAGAACAGGACCACTATGCCTGGCATCTCTGTGAAGAAAAACACAGGGGCACACACTCCGAGAACAGGACCACTATGCCTGGCATCTCTGTAAAGAAAAACACAGGGGCACACACTCTGAGAACACAGACAGACTGAAGGTGGTGGCAGAGCAAGTACCTCATGAATATGTTTCAACAGCAGAAACGAGCTAGCACAAACAAATGCTGGTCCACCAGCAGAAGCAAGACAGCAATGCAAAACAGTCTCCCTCAGCTCCTCAGAGGGAGCCAGCCCTGGTGCCACCTTGCCCTCAGCCTCCCGACCTCCAGAGCTCTGAGACAATTCATGTCTGTTGTTCAACTCTTCCAGTCTTGTTTGCCTTTTTGGCAAACTTGCTTGGCTCACTTGTCATTTTGAAAGTCCTGCTGGACCAAGGGAGACTCTCACAGTTTGACACTTAATTCTTCCTCTAATTGTGCTGTTATGGTGATTGCGGTTTTCAGGTGCCTCAAGGGCTAGGCTATGCCTCTTGTTTTCTTTAGTCTGAGGAACCCAGACCTATTTACTAGGACGACAAACCTGCATTGGCCTGACCAAACTTCCGGAAAGTATTGATTAATGGTTCACGAGGATTGATTTATTGCTACACACCTCCCAGAAGTATCCCAAGAGTACTCCAGGCAGCAGAACCCCTACTTTGCACTGAAGTAATTGTACCTCAGAGCCAGCCCAGGAGAGTAGAGTTTCTAGAACTTTCCAGAAAAAAAAAGTTCAGAAATTGGGTGAAGAAAGGTTTCCAGCCACGGGTGAGGGAGGTTCTGAATTATGAACAGATGGGTCCAGTATGTAGTTCAGAAGGTAAGATTTGAGGTCGGCAGGAGACTGGGGTTGGCCTTAGAAGCCCCCTCTTCTCCCTGTCTTTCTCTCTGGCCCAGATGACAGTTTCTGACTTGTTTACAAGTTGTGCCCTGAGAGTGGCTGGGCAGCCTGGGGAAGATAATGAATCACCAGCTTCTCCGTGGGAAGCATCACAAAGGCCAGCCCAGCCCAGCCACTCCTAATACATGGACCCCACCCTTTAGTACACACATCAGCCGGGCAGTCACACTGCCTCTGAGCCTGGCCCAGGAAGAGGCCCTCTGAGATGACGTCCTGTGGGCACACGGAGCCTCGACCACTCCTACTTTGGCACCACGCTCCCCTCTTCCCATCAGTTCTCTGACTGCAGTGTTCAGCATGCGGAGTCCGGGGCAGCAGTTGTCACCCACGGCAGTTGTGAGGTTCACCCCCTAGACTCTTCACTGCTCCTCACCCCGCCTCCAATCTGGGTCTCCCAGGCTGGCCCCAAACTCGCTGTATAGCTGAGAAAGACCTTAACCTTCTGGCCTTCCTCCCTCTGCTCACTGGGTGCTGGAACACAGCACGGGACACTGTGCCCAGTAATGCAGTTCTGGGATAAGTTCTGGGACCCTGTGCATGCTAGGCGAGCATTCTGCCAGCTGAGCTGCAACGCCAATGCTCCACCTGCCCTCTTTTCCCGTGCAGGACCAGATCTAGGTTTCCACCTGACTCTGGCACCGGCATCTGTGGCCTTTGCAAAGTTACTTTACCCTCTTTGGACCTCAAATTCCTTAGCTGTAAAAGAAGGCCAGCCATAAATACTCACTTCGTCCTGTTGCGATGAAGTTTAAACGAGAGCGCTTACGTCGCCATGCTTGGCATAGCGAGCGGCTCTCTCAGCGCGCATACCGTTGTTCTGTGACGGTGAGTGATGAACATCCTGGGCTTGTATAGCGTGGCAGAACGCTGATTCAGACACCAAGATGCACATTCCGATCTATTGCAAAGCTAGGAGATACGACATCAGTTTTACCTGCTTTACTGAAATCGCGCAGCCTGTGACTTTTTGCTGAGGAATTTGCACTGATACAAGGCAACTCATTCATCCTCCAAATATGTTCTGAGCACCTGCTAAGGAGGTGACGTGTTCTTGGCCGTTCTCAGAGCAGAACTGGAGGGCGCGAAGGAAAAGAGTGACTGGCCGGCGTCCAAACTCAGGAAGTTTCCTTTATTGCTTTCCCCTAGGTCAAGGTGGATTCTTCACCCACCTCTACAGACTGGGCCTAGCATTGCCCCAGGGAATGGCCAAGGAGCTGAGGCAGGAGAGGTCTGTGTCATGTTTGGACCAGCCTTGGAGCTGGGATCCCATCTCTTTTTCTCCTAATTCTTATGAGCATAGGAATGCAATCATCCCCATGGAAACTCAGTTTCCTTTGTTAAATAATGTAATTCCTAGGTCAGACTTTCTAGGCTTTCAGCTCTGTAACTGCCTCTTAGTAAATGCTTTTTTCATTCATTCATTCATTCATCATCTACCCATTCATTCATTCATCCTCCACATACTCTTCTAACCACCCAGCGTTGCTGAGACTACTCTTGGGAGCTGTAGCAGGAGTTGAGGGAATAAGGGAACATGAGAAATGCTATTCCCAGGACCCCAGAATCCAACAGTGGTGACACCTCAGTTTCCCTCACACCCTTCCATGTGCTGACGTGAATCCGGCAATCAGAGGCCATGGGACTAGTTCCCAGCAGAACTGACCTGTTCTCAATCCAACCCAAAGGACAAATGGTTCCTAGGATCCAGGCAACATGTAGCCTAGCCTCTGGGCAGGTGCCCAGGGTAGACATTCCCCCTCTCTTGGACCACAGCCAATGGGAACCCAGCCCTTTTACCTGAGCTCACCACCCTGTGTTTCCTGTCTCTCAGTAGGTTTGGGTTCTCAAAGAGGGCTGGGTGGGCTCCCCAGGGCAAACTCTCAGTTCAGACAGGAAGTAGGTGGGAGAGCTCCCAGGCATATCCCACCCTTTCCTTTGAAACAGCAGGGCTCTTTAGCAGTCTCCCTCGGAGATCTCTGCTTACTGCTTTAGGGACTTTAGTGGCCACTCCTAGCTGCAAGGAAGCCTGGGAAAAAAAGAGGGAAGTATCTCATAACTAGCTTAGGTCAAAGGTCAGAGAACTTTTTTCCTGGAAATGGCTAAAATGTAAATATATTGTGTTCCCCTCAGTACACTGAATGTAACATACATGTCACAACTGCGCACCTCTGCCTCTGCGGGCTGGCAACAGCCATGTGTAAGCGTGTGCTGCTGTGCTCCAGTCAAAGTGTTTACATGCTTGCACTTGCGGGAATGTCTGGCAGCTTCCAAGTGTGAATATTATCTTAACTTTCTTCAAAAATTTAAAATTATGTTAAAAATCTCTTTCCTGGAGCTAGAGAGATGGTTTCTTGGTTAAGAGCCGTGCCTCTCTTCTGGAGGACCTGAGCTTTATTCCCAGCACCCATCTGGTGGCTTATAAGCGTCTGTAACTCCGATGCCAGGGGATCTGATGTCCTCCACAGGCACTGAAACTCACGGTACACATATGTATGTCTGGGCAAAACACTCATACGCATTTTTTAAAAATCTAAATATTTTGAAAATCTGTTTTCAGGGTCTGAGGCAGAGTTCCGTTGCTAAGCATGTTGCTCTAGCATGCACAAGGACCTGAGTTCCACCCACGGTATCACGTAAACTGGTGTGGCGCACAGCGTGCAATACTCAGCCACACAGGAATTTGAGGCCAACCTGGATTTTAAAAGGGGACTGGTTTTTGAGTGGGGAGAGACATACAAAAGGAACACTGGGCTGTGGATGAGCGGATCTGCCTTTCTTCCATGACTTGGGACTTAAATTCTTGCCAACTTCTGTCGTTCATCCTTAAGCGAGACTCTTGCTCTTCCTTCTCTCACACTGTTCATTGCATAGCTGGTCTGCCGACTCCCGAATACTCCGGCACTCTAGTGGGAGAGTCAGGCATTCCCACCCACACAACATTCCAGAAATACATCGCTCCCCATTCCCGAGGAGAACCCCAAAAGTTTCCCTGTACATCCTGTTCTCCATGTCCCTTTCAATCTGGGTGATTAAACTCAGCACCTCGAAGGCGATTAAAAATTAATTTGGCATTCAACAGGCCTGGAAATGAAGGTCAGGAGGAAGCATACATGGAGAGCCCGGCTAGAGGTAATTAGAAAATTGTCCTGCTGGGCAAGAAGAGTAACTAAGTCATGGCCTCAGCCTCGGAGAGGGCAGTAGAGAAGCGAAAGGTGACGGCTGAGGTTACAGGGTAACTGCTCGCTTACTGTGTGTGGCTGTGGCTAACAATTGTATTACAAAAGCTGGTGGTTGACAATAAGGAGTTGTACTGAACTGGGGAGAATTCACAGGTGCGGCTTTGCCCAAGCCTGTGGGCCTCCCCTACTCTGCACACCCTGTGGTTCCGGTCTGCCCACCCCCACCCAGCAGCCTCTGCTCCTTCTTCCCCTCCTTCAGCCTTCCCACATGCACAGACCTCCCTGCCCTCTTTGGAACCTCAGGCCATCCCAGCAGTCCCTCACCTTTTGCCCCGTGTCCAGTGCAGCCTGTGGTTCGTAGCCACTGGCCTCCAAGGATGGATGGTTCCCCGTGTAGCCCCCACCCTATTCTGGGTGTTCTTTCATGTTCTTTGTCTCCCAGGCAACAGTCCTACTGCTTGAGATGCCAGCCTGGAAGCTGATATTCCAGGATGCTGCAAAAGGGCACTTCCTTTTCCCATCTCAGAAGCCACCAGGGGCCTTCACACCTCCAATACCATCCAACTTTCCCATCTGGTGTCTTTGAACACTGTGAGCAGCAGGAAATATCTAGTTAACCCTTGAGAACCGGAACATTTTTTGGTGGCTCTCAGGAGCCTATTGGGAAAACTGTTTCACTCAAGGAGATCCCTGAACCCACCGCAAACTGCTTTGAATGAGATGATGTAACTCCTACATCTTTCTCAGGCCTCCCAGAAGTCTAGGTTGTCTCAAGCTGAGCGTGGCTACTGCATTTAAATACAAATCAAATCAAATGAGAATCTCAGTTCCTAGGCTATATATGTGACCAGTGGCAACTGTACTAGGGAATGCAGATAAAACACATCTTCCTTCCAGAAAGTTCTCCTGGATGGTGCTCTCTTAGGAATAAGTTTTTTTTCTTTTTTTCTTTTTTTTTCTGAGGAACAATTTCATTTTTTGAAAGAATAAAAGCTTAAAAATCCTTTGCCAGGACTTTATAAAGAATATTGATGTAACCCCAAATGCAGCATCTATCTACATTGCAGAGAAGAAATACATTCTGGGCTGCAGTGGACCAGGCTTTCTGTTTTGGGCCATCAACCAGCTCCCAAATCATGACACATGCTTATTAGTTTTGAATGCTCAGCTGTTTCTGGCTAACTCTTATAATTTAAATGAACTGTTTCTCTTTATTTACCCTTTGCCTCGGGGCTTATTACCTTTCTTCTGTATATCTAACTTCATTGCTTCTCTGTGTCTGGCTGCCATCTGCCTGGCTTCTTGCTTCAGGCATCTCCCTTGTTTTCTCCTCTCTTCTCTCTCATTCTTCCTTCTCTCTCAAACCTAGATTTCTCCTCCTATTTAGTCTCTCTGCCTACCAGCCTCGCCCGTCATTTCTCCTAACTAGCTATTGGACATTTAGCTTTTTATTAGACCAATCAGGTGCCTTGGGACTATCATTTTTTTCCTGCCTAGCTATTGGACATTTTTATTAAAAGGGGATAAATTTTAAGCGCATGGGCTTGGAAGTCTAAGGTCTTGGGCAATTCACTTAACTTCCTGAAGCCCCCTGGTTTCTCTGTCTGTAACTGTAGCTGTCCATCTTTAACTGTAGCTGTCTGTCTATAACTGTAGCTATCCAGCTTTAACTGTAGCCATCTGTCTATAACTGTAGCTATCCTTCTGTACCTGTAGCTCTCTGTCTATAACTGTAGGTATCCAGCTTTAACTGTAGCCATCTGTCTATAACTGTAGCTATCCGTCTGTACCTGTAGTTTTCCATCTATAACTGCAGCTATCCTTCTGTACCTGTAGCTATCCGTCTATAACTGTAGCTATACCAGAGAAGGCAATCCAGGAGAGTGCTCATCTGCACAGTGTTGGTTAAAGAAAGACCTGGTAAGAGCGTCTCTTGACCTTCCCTGGAGGGGCTGCAACGTGGCAACACAGAAAGACAGGATGAAGGAGACCCACTCCATCTATTTCTGTGAGACATGCCTGAAGGCTGTAACTTATATAACCTTACTTCTTTAAAAACTAAATGAATCAGCAAGAAATTGGGATGAGATGAAGTGGAAAACCCTAGAACAGATCCCTGCCCTCTCCGTCCTCTGCCCCCCCCCACCCCAGTTCCAAAATTCAAGTGCCTAGTAAGCAACGCCAGGTAGATGCTCTTCAGTGTCCCAGAATCAAGAACCCCAAGTGCAATGGAGCATCTTACATCTTAAAACCACCTGCTCTTCCTTCATGTCCTAGCTCAGGAATAGTGCCTGGTTTCTAAGAAACTAGTAATTATATGTGCTTGATCTCCAGATTTTATTGTCCTGTGATTTACTGTTCTATTGTCTGGGAAGCTGAGGTTCACAGAGATGAGGGTCATGAAGGACCTTGCTCCCTGCCACCTCTACCTGCCACAAAGTCACTTCCCCATGTACGGTTCATTCCCCTCTCTCCAATTGTACACCCAGCACACTGTTATGGCCACATCATCTCCCGTCTGGATCACAGTGAAATTTCTCTATTGTTCCCCAGTGTCCAGCCAGGCTCCTTCCCACATCCTTCCCAAGTCACAGTCCTCTGTAAAAGCTACGCATTTAATGTCACCACTTTCTGGTCAAAGCCCCCGAAAGTTTTGTTCACCTG